ATATGTATATATATGTCACTGATACCACTAGCAGGAGATTTCAGAACCAAAGAATATAGGGACCTACTGATGTGGCCAGAGCTAGACTTTCAATGCATATTCCCCATTCTGAAAACCAAGAGTATCCACTTCCCCATCCCCCAACACCCTTGCCCCCCACGAAACATAGTCCATAGAACTAGAGAATTATAGCAGCTAAATGGAAACTTGAAGATCATCCAATCAACTGACTGTTGTTACAGATGAAGAAACCAAGAACCACAATGGTGACGCACAGATGCAGTCAAGGACTGGCCCAGGTCTGACACTGAAGATCTCTATGCTTCCTCCTACCACCTGGGAGCATATCACGACTCAAGGTCACTTTCTTCACATTCCAAGCCCCTGACCCTTCACCTGCAATAGTGTGGCACAGGCAGAAGGCAGCAGGGCCCACATGCTTTCACGGCTGTATGGAAAGAGAAGCATGGAGATGGAAAGAGAAAAAGAAGACTAGGTACATTCTTTTAGCATGTCATTACTGCGATTGCCTGCACCTTTCAAAGATGACTCACATTAGTATTGTGTTAGTCCACTAATGTTAAGTAAAATAATATCAAAACTTATTTTTCTTCAGATTGGTCTGAGATCAGTATACTATCCTTTAAAGTATATTATCCTTTAAAAAAAGAGAAAAGTATATCAAAATCAAATACTTACAGTGGCATAAAATTTGTGTTTTGAACAGAGAAACTAGAAACCCTCACTGCAACCCATTACTCAACTTTGTGACATATTTGAAAAAGAGAAATCTTGATTGAATGCCATAAAAAATCTTAAGATAGAAATTAAATGTCAAAAAGAATATTAAGGATCACGACCACTTAAGCATTATTAAGTACCTTATTATAGTTAGAATTTATAAGAAAAAAATAGGTAAATCAGATTACCTTAAGGGAAAACATAAAGCAGATAACAACACTAAGCTCACCCTGCCACAGATGGTTTTGAAGTTTGCTTCAAATGATTTTGGAAGCAACTCAGAACAAAGAAAGCTCTTCTGCACATATAAAACTTTAACGGCAAAAAAGAGTTATCTAATTACCTTAATCTAAACCGTCACCTCTCTAGGAAAATTTTTAGAAAGAGAAAATGTTAAAGAATAGGCTGTGTTTACAGAGATGACTGAAGATTTGCTTTTTCCATATCTGTTTAATGATTTCAATTAGTCTGTGCAGAAATTGCTTACTCTGCATTGAAAACTGCAATTTTCTTGCCGGACGTGGTGGCACATGCCTGTAATCCCAGCACTCGGGAGGCTGAGGTAGGTGTTTGAGTTTGAGACCAGCCTGGGCTACATAGTGAGTTCCAGGTCAGTTGCAACTACATAGTGAGACCCTGCTTCAAAAAACCAAAAAAAAAAAAAAAAAAAAAAAAAAAAAAAAAAAAGAAAAGAAAGAAAAAGAAAACTGCAATTTTCTGAATTAAAAAAATGAGGAAAAGGATATATATATATGTATATGCATATTTTTAAGGCAAAGCTATAAGAATTTCATATAGTCCCAGTAAGAGTAGTTATCAGTGCAAGTATACATGGAAAGTAGTTGAGCAATTTAACAATATCTATCAGAAACGCAAATCCCCCTGGCCCAAAAATTCTATTTCAGAAAATGCATTTTATAAATAGACTTTATACATAAAGGATTTTTTGCAGCAGCAATGTTTATTATCAGAAAACTAGAAATGGCACAAATGTTTATTAATAGGACACCAGTTAAATTAATTATGATACAGCTATATAATGGGATATTATATATTATATCTGTAGAACATGTGCTCTATGTATTATATGGAAAATTTCCAAGATATTAAATTAAAATTTTAAAAAAACAGAAGGGTGTGCATTATATGCCATCTTTTGGATTTAAAAAGAGGTAGAAGAAAACAAAGAATCCATGTTTGTATTTGTACCTAATGAGATTTTCAGAAATAAAAAGATTAAAAATGAAGAAATTCCAGAAGTACGTTTTAAAAATGGGAAGTAGGGAATGAGACAAGAGGTATTTTACTGTGTATCTTTTTATTCTCTTTGCTTCTACAACTATGTTACTATGCTATCTATTAAAAAAGTAAATAATTTTCAAATAACAAAAGCCATCACTTTAGGCTTACAACATTTCAATATTCTTCCTTGTTTTTCATTTTTTTGTTGAGGCACTAGGGACTGAACCCAGGAGTTTCACATTAAAGTACATTCCCAACCTCTTGCAACTTTTTTGATTTGTTTTCGGGGTTTTTTTGTGTTTTTTTTTTTCTGTTTCACTTTTTGTGTATTTTGTTCTGTTTGTTTTATGACAGCATTTCACTAAATTGCTAAATTGCCCTGGCTGGGTCGGAGCTTGGAATCCTCTATCATAGCTTTTCAGAGTGTTGGGATTATAGGCTTTAACCACCATGCCAGGGTGCTGCTTCCACATGAAACAAACGAACAAAAAAGAAAATACGTTAGCATACTTTAGCATCTCCTTAAACGAATTTGACCTTTGAACCTTTAAGCAAAATAGGAAACTAGATGCATCATCCTTACTTCTTTAAAAGTATTATTGTATGCCTTGCATAAATGTAACACATTTAGTACTTTGGTCTAAAACTAATCCCATTTCAACATTTTCAAGTTAAATCTGAACTTGCTTACAGATGTAAAAACCACCTAAATTCCAGCAAGCAGTCAATTTTAAGAGCTCTCCTATCTCACTAGAGAACATCCATACCTTTCTCAGAATGGTTCTTCCTCCCATGAGGAATTCGGTGAAGGCACAGAATATACCCATCTTTGGTCTCCACCAGATGTTCCTCAGCTGGAAATCCCCAGTGTTGGATAATTTCTGTCTGGAGAGAGAAAGGACAATGGGCACTGTATGGACAGAACCTGGCATTACCTTCCACATTAACAAGCAAAGGAGAAAATAAGATGTCAATCATCTTTTCCAAGCTTTATTTAAGAAATCAGTTGTAATCGTCATTTGAGTTTGTTCTACCTAGTAGCCAACATGCCACCACAGCAGTAAGTCCTCCATATCCACAGGAATTTGGCTAAACCTTGATGTCGTAACTCTAGCATGTTCTATACCAAAATATTTCTAATTTTACCACAGTGTAAGGCCTTGCTGTTTCCATTCTGCCTACTAGGCAAAAATACCTACTTCTTTCTTTTCTATATTTAGAGTGTTATGCTAGCTAGCACTTTCCTTGTTTAAGACATCCCATCCCAAGAAAGCATAAAAATCCAATTCATCAATGAACTAAAATCCATCCATGAACTAATCTATCAATGAACTAAAAAATTTACACTAGAATGTCAAGATCCACTTGAAGAAAAGCAGTAAAAATATGGACTTATGATCAAATTCCCTTAAGAAATATAATGGATAATTGTTAACTGGAAACTTTATGGGATATAGATGAATCAATTATCCAGAAGATTTAATGTAAATAAATGTTCATTATCCTCTACTGTAAATGCCTGAAAATACTTAATTTTGTTATGCTTATAGGAAAAAAATTGGTTAGAAGAGGGAGGAAAAAAAAGGAAAAATTTGAGATAAGAATTAAATATAACCTGAAGCCTATGCTATCAGGTTATATATACTCTTCTGACTCACTATGAATTTTTCTCAGGGACTGTAGTTAACTGATTCATCAATTAGGTCACTGCATCTTCTCTTTTAAAGTTGCCTTAAATAATCTGTATGTTTTCAATATTTTACGCTTCAGTGAAGTACTTCCAGGTTTGATTGTTTAGTTAAGATGAATAACTTCGAAACGTTTTAATAGATCAAGGCGTTATTGTTTATTTCTTCTAACAATTTTTTTCAGACACTTTGACTTTGGCATCCATGTACGTTCTCTAGATATTCTTAATTACAATCTTTGGTGTCTTCCAAAACCGTCACTCAGGGGTGAAATCTAGCAAACAGAAGACTCAGAGAAGAAAAAATGAAAAGCATGATCAGCTGTAACTGATGTTATTTAAGGAAATAACACTTGTCATAGCCACATGATAAAAGTAAATGACTTTGAGAAACTTACAACATTCATGTTTGCTTCAGGATCCACAGCTCTCACTCTCCCTCTGGACCCCACAGAACACAGGATCCCAAGGACCAAACAGACCACCAACCTCCAGGGCTGCATTTTCATCCTATAGAAAATAGTTCCTTGTTATTTTACTACACTAAAATGCACTGGCAAATTAAAGCTCTCATAAAAAGTTCTGGACCTGTTTTAGGGAAAGTAAAAGTTAGGTGAAAGACAGTACAAATGACTCCAGCCATATTGTGAAGAAAAAATGAGGAACTCTTTTTTTTTTTGTTCAGAAATCTCCCTTCCTGCCATCCCCAGTTAACACGGGACACCTTTGGATCCCACACCACACCCACTAGCCTCCCACCACAAGCTAAAATAAAATATTTTTAGAGAAATAACAGGAGACAGGACTTAGAAGAGGATCGATTAAAAAAAGGAAAAGCCAACTCCACAGCCTGTCAATTTATTATTTTTTCCTCCCACTTGTAATCAAACATTTTAAAGTTCAGACAATATTAGTTCTTGCCTCCTACTAAATACTCACTTCTGTTCTTGCCCTAAATTATGTCAGGGTTCAATTTTGTCACTCAAGGGTGAAAAAAAAGTGAAATGAAGGAGAGCCTCCAAGAGAAATAGAAGAAGGAGCCAACAACATTCCTCTCCTCCCTGAAACTCTCCAGCCAGGAGCAAAGATCATCCCAGTTTCTGGCAGGTAGATAAATCACAGCATAACAAAGATCTGGGAGATGTTAAAGATGAAATGAGGTGCAGTTACTCTCCCAAGGTCATCCAGATAGAGTAACTGCTGGGACAGAGCCCAGCTCTCCTATATTAAAATATAGTCTTTAAAGAAAAAAAAATATGCCTGTACAATGACTTGTACACAAATGTTAAGAGCTTATATATAGAAGCCCAAAACTGGGCAAGTTGGAATACTACAAATGGTTAAAAATATAAATGAATTATATGTATGTGTGTTACTCAGCAATAACAAGGAATGGGGATGCATAGTAACTTCAATGAATCTCAAAATAATTATGCTTAATTGCAAAAGACAAGGGGGAATGTTATTTGACCCACTAATATAAAACTTTGGGAAATGCGCAATCTGATCTACATTGAGAGGAAGTTCATCTGTACCCGGGAGGATAGGGGACAGGAGGGTAGAATAACCAGGGAACATATATAAGGGATCTTTTAAGGATAATGTATAGGTTCATAATATGGAATTGGTTTCAAAAAATGGAAAAATCTATAATTTAAATATGCCCTGCTATTGTATGTCAATCATACCTCATACTGTATTGCGGTCTTTAAAAATGTACACTGTGCACTGCGCAAGTTTTCAAGAAATTAGAGAGATGAATTGACTCCCTTCTGTTGAAAAATTCTTCCTGGAATTATTTTTCTAAGCAATGGTGAATCCTGAAATTCCAGATAGGCCGCAAGGTCATCCTGAGTTTGTATTGGCAAAGCAAACCTACTGATTTTAATTACAAGGGTGCACTTAGGTAGCTGGGAATGGCTGTGTAACCCTGCACTACCTTTTATCCTACCATCTCCTTTAGGATAAGAGAATAGTAGACTGAAAAAGGAAACATTAAAGGTTAATACCACAATTTAAAATAAAATTTTTACACAGCACCCATGCTAGAGAGCCTGGACCAGTTGACAGAAATTACTCTGGAAGGATGACAGCTGAAGCCACTCAAATGGAAATGTCATCCAGTTGGTTTTCACTTCTAACATGACTCTTACTTTCTCAACACACTAGACAAGCAATCTTGTGTAGGAAGAGACTGTGAGTTCGAAGGAGAGAGAGAAAAAAAATCTGGACTGGGCTCAACGTGCTAGTCCGGGCTCCTGGAACGTTTATCTTCTTTTGATTTTGTAATAATCCAATTAACTGCTCGTCTGCCTGCATTTCTCCCAGCGTTGGTCTCACTCAACTTCTTCCATCAAAGAAGGAACAAAACGCCACACACGTCAACTGTATGGGCTCGGATTTTGAAAAATGGGATGAGGTGGTCCAACAGTTCAGTGGCCCAAGAAAAGAAGGTCCCAACACAGAATGTCATTTAGTTTTCTGGTAATAACAACAAAATAACTACTATGTTCCGCAATGCGCCAAACTGGGAGGGCACTTCGGATACGAAGTCAACCCCAGGGAAGTGTTAAGCCACTTTTCAGGAACTAGGTTACAGAGGTTAAGCATTGGAAGCAAAGTGTGAGCTGGTGAAACAGCAGTCGCTGGCATTTTAACCAGGACTACTGCACTGGTGTGCCTCTGACCACGGCGTCGGCTCAGAAATGAAGCGTGGGGTGGGCTGTCAGGAGGAACTAACCGAGTAGAGGACAGATTGCTGGGAATCGGCGTCCCGCCGTCCCCTCAGACCACCCGCTCTGAGCAGCCTAGGAAATCGGAGGGCGCCAGGAAAGGACGGGCTACTTCAGAGCGTTGGGAGGTTGCCTCGGCCACCGATCGCGGAGTAGCGCCCGCAGGTACCCCAGCCCGGGCATACGGAGAGCCAAGCCAGGAGCCCGGAGCGCGGGGACAGCTGCCCTCCCTGAGCACGTAGACAGCGGGGCGCCTGCCCTCCCCCGACCCGCACCTGCGCTGGGCTTTGCACTCACCCGGAGTCTCCCTCCGGAGCCACTGTCCGGTGTTGCAGAGCCTGATCGCGGGCGCCGGGTCGCTGCGGCCCCGGAGGGGACCAGGAGGGGAGTAGACCCCACGTGGGGAGGGCGAGCACCACCCACCACCCACCACCCACTGGGCTCAGGCTACTGGAGCAGCCAACCAGAGGACCCCGCCCCCGGGAAGTGCCCCAAAGCTCCGCCCCGAGCGTCTCCGAGCCTGTTAGGGAGCTGCGCCCCGAGGAGCATGCGCGCTGGACCCAGCCAGCGGAGCTCTGACCAGGCCTCGCCCATCTGAGCTCTGCCTGAGGTGAGAAGCCAGTGAGAGATTTTTAACAGAATGCAACAATATGGTTTGCAGATTATGCAACCTGTGGTTGCTGAGGTAAACTATGGAAACAGGGAGCTTACTGCAGTACTCACAAAAATTAATTATAGCTTGGACAAGGGTAATGACAGCAATGAAAGTGGAGAAAAGTAGTCAGCCTTAGGTGTGCTCATAAAGTTGAGCCTGACAGGATTTGCTCATCGATTAGATAGAGGTATGAAAGGTAAAGCGGTGTGGAGGGTGGCATTGGCATGCTTAATAAAGTAGAGGTACCAGCAGTCAAAATGGAGAAAAAAGCACCAGGAAGAATTTGAGGGCTGTTCTAGATGTGTTGATTTTGAGATACCTTTTAAAGAACTCTACCCGTTAAGGCCACAGCAGAGGAAGAAACCACCTGAAACATTCCAAGAAGAGAAAATCGTTGCACAGGTAATGGAGTTGCTGGGAAGAAAACAACAGGGTTTGTGCAGGCATCCCACAAATTGTTAGCACCAGTGGAACGCCTGAGCATTCATGGCAGAAGGTAATTGTCATCAGAGACCAGCAGCTGAGTTGCTGCCTCTGACAGAGACACCTATGGCCAGGAAAGGGGAGTTACAGTTAACATGGCTTTTCCTTCCCCACCTTTCAGTCACTACCAGTTCCTCCTGTAGACCAAAAGTACGCTGGAAGCTTCAGGAGTGTAAGGGTTAGAACCTGTCCACCCTGGCACTAAAATGGAATGGGAGAAGGACACAATATGGATCTGGGACCAAAAGGGGAGATTAGTAAAGCATCTACATGGAGGTGGTAAGTAGGTACCAGGATTTCCATCCCCAGCATTATATTTCTGGTTCCAGGATAGAGGCACAATCTGGAAATAATAAGCTTAGAGACAGGATTTAAAGCCTTGAGTCTAGATAAGATCTACAAAGTCAGTCCCAACAGTGAAGAATGTACTTAGTATTCAACAGCTGAGATGCATTTGGAGAACTAAAAGTGCTATACCAGACACAAAGTTGAAAAAAAAATTTTAAGAAAGGCAATGATCAGCCCAGATACATGCTGAAGGTAATTTGAGTGACATAAACATTGAGAAATAAACATTAAATTTAGCAATATTTCTGCATGTCAGACATTGTGCTAAGACTTTATGCAGGGTGCATCATAAGTGCTCAGTGAAAGTCCCATGTTGCCAGTTTACAGATAAAGGAACTGAGGCTTATAAAGGTTAAATATATTTTCCAAAGTAACAGAAAATGTAGCTCAAATGCAGCCCAGGCAAACTAAATATAGGTTATTTTATATGAATGAACAAATGAAAATACAACCAAAAATTTCTTTATCCAGATGAGAGAGAATCCTCCCAATCTTTCTGCTTTGGGCCATTATGACCCATACTTTATATACAGAGAAAGTTTATAGAGTACAAGGCTGACTGGTGATATATGGGAAGATGGGATTTTTTTGTCTTTGTGGTGCTGAATATTGAACTCTGGGTCTCATGCTAGGTAGCCGTTACCACTGAGCTACAACCCCAAACCTAGGACGGGCATTTTGTATCACAAACCAGACTGGTGGGTTTAAGACAAATAATAATGCTATTAACAGTTCAGCTTTGGGCTGGGGATTTGGCTCAGTGATTGCCACCTGCCTGCCTCTCAAGCACAAAAGCCTGAGTTTGATCCTCAGAAGCAAAAGAAAAGAGAAGAAAAGAAACTATTCAGATATTACCCAGACTTACTCTCCTGCTTTAAATAACTAGGGGGAAAATGTATGAAATAATAGTTTCAAACATTAGATGGCATCCTAGCCAATATAGCCATCCTAAGGAAAGCAAGCAAGTGAAATGAGCCTTCAATACCCCAAAAAATTACCTGAACAGAATTTCCAGCCTGCAGTTCAGGGAGGAGAAATCTAAGCAAAATCCAGTGGTTTCTCTGAATGTAGGAGACAGATCAGAATTCAGGAAGGCTTAAGCAGTAAAATATTAGAGCACAGAAAGGTAAATCTCTAGAGAACTCTCAAAAATTCTCCACAATTCTTGAACTGAATATTAGTCGGATCCTATAAATTAAGAAGTTACACTTCATCAGGGAAAGAATCACCTGAAAAGTGCATTTTCCTTAGGGCCAGAATGGGAAAACTTGATAATATATAAGGTTTACTAGATAGTAGATTCATAAGAGTATTGCTTCAGTATCAGCACAAAATTAGGCCTAGGTTAAGGCTATTGAAATACAAGAGTACTAAACTAGACCGCTGTGATTTGGGTCTAGATGTCCCCCCAAAGCCTCATGCAGCCATAGATGGCTTTTTCAGAGGTGGCTGAATCTAGAGTATGTGATGCTGGGAATACAGGCAGGTGATTAGTAACTCAGTACACTGATTAGTTTGGCACTGCCCTAGCCCCAGTAGTCTGGATAAAAGGGGCAGAAAGACACTGTTAAGTTTCCCATGTTGCTTTTTCTGTCTTCTGCCACCATTAACGGTTGTCCCTCTGCCTTGGAGCCCGCTCACTATGGACTGAAACCTCTATGAACTGTAAGCCACGTCAGCCTGTCCTCCCTTTAACAGTATCAGCAATGAAAGAAAAATAACAAACACAGAATTTGTTACAGAGAGTGGGGTTATTGCTGTGACATTACTTGGCCATGTGGCTAAAGAGCCTTTGGAACTGACTTGTGGGAAAGGAAAGAGTTTGGAAAGGTTCAGAGATGCTGGCTAAAAATGTAGAGCTGAAACTTCTTAGGCTGTGCTGTATGAGAGATTCTGGTCAGAGCTCAGAATACCAGAAAGCCAGTAAAGACCAGGCTTGGGAGGTTTCTGAGTCCTAGGAAGAAGGACTTCACTGGCTGTTGGACTCCAGATCATGTGAGTTATGGCTTGGTAGAAAGTTTGTCTGCATTTTTCTCATGCCCAGAAACTTTACTTGAGTCTGAGATTAAGGATAGCAGATTAAATAATCTTGCAGAAGAAATTTCAAGGCAGTCTAATGTTAAGGCTGTGTCATGGCTGCTGTTGGAGGCTTTTAGCCAGATCTATGTTTAGAATGAAAGGCAAAGAGCCTGGCAAAATGATTTAAAATATTTTGAGTTTGGCCAGAAGGGAAGGCCCACTAAAAATGTAGACTTCAGAGGTAGAGCAGAGGAGATCTTGATTGCTGAGTAGGAATAGGAGAATAGAAAAGATGCCCTGAGGGCATCACAGGAAGCAGAACCCCACCCTTTGCAGCCTCAAAATTGTAAAAATGAAGAACTTTGCTTTGAGAAGAGATCCCCAGAACACCAAGTTCCAGAACAGGGGAAGCCTAAGGAAACTGTTTCTCTGGACTTGGTTCATAGGCACTGGACCGCTGTAGCCAAGACAGGAGGAAGCCTCCTTGTTACTGGCAGCAGACCTTGGTATCATCCACAGGTGATGGTTTTAGTACATGCAGAATGTAAGAGTTGTGGAGTCAGGAAGACTTCCACCCAGATTTCAGAAAAAGGCCTGGAAGGACAGACAATGTGTCCATGAGACAACAGTGTGTGAAGCTGTGAGTGTGAAGCCAAAGGTGCAGAGGACACCCCAGAAGCTTGGACAAGCCAGGAGGGTGGATTGTCTGAGGAAAACTGTAAGGAGGGAGCAGAGCTGGCCCAAGAGAAAAGCCATAGGAGCTACAGCCACCAGAAGTACCATAGGGACAGAGGCACCCAAGCGCTTCGGAGTTTACAATATGCCACAGATTGCTGGGGATTCCAGAAGTGGAACTGCTGAATTTTGGCCTTGCTTTTTTCCCATTCCTTGCTATGCCCCTATTTATAACCTTTGAAATGGAAATGTCCATCTTGTGCTATTGAATGTTGGAACTGTTTAACTTTCTATTTGTACAGGGATTTGCAATTAAGAATTTTCCATTGTTGGTGGGAGTGCAGACTGATGCAACCACTATGAAAATCAATATGGAGATACCTCAAAGAGCTGCGATTAGAGGTTCCATTTGACCCAGTGATGCCTCTGTTGCGTATCTTTCCAAAAGAATTAAAAGAATCATATCACAGAGAAATATGCTCATCTATGTTTATAGCGGCACAGTTTGTAATAACTAAAACTTGGACGCAGCCCATTTGCCCATCCGTTGGAAACTGGATAAAGAAGATGTGGTTTTTCTATAAAATGGAATATTACTCAGCCATAAAAAATGAGAAATTAGATTCATTCATAGGAAAATGGATACATATTGAGGATATACTCCTAAGTGAAATAAATAAGTCACACATGTGTAAATACTGGATAGTTTCTCTGGTGTGAAAAACTATAATAGTACATAAGATCCTAATGATATAATGGACAGTGTGAAATAGGAAGAAAGGGGCTAAAGGTGTAGGGAAAGTGGCAAAGGTAGGGAAAGCTAATAAGGGAAATGAAAAAAATATGAGAAAATGAAAAAATGGAAATGAAGTGTTTGTAAATGGGGAGGGGAGGAGGGGGTGAAGGGAGGGCAGAGACAAGGGGAAAAAATGAGAACCAAGACCTGTCATGTAAAGGTACAAGATCCCAATAATGAATGTAACTGTACTGTATACCTAAAATGTACCAATAAACTCAGTGAGGGAAAAAAATAAAAAAAAAAAAAAGAATTTGCCTTAAATCTCAGGGGAGACTTTAGATGGACTTTTTAGCAATGCTGAAACTGTTAGGACAATGGAAACTCTTAGAGATGGACAGAATGCCTTTTGTGTAAAGAAATGTACATAAGTCTTTGGTGGGACAGGGGTAGAATATGGTTTAGGTCTAGACGTCCCTCCAAAGCCTCATGCATTCTTATGTGGCCTTTTCACAGGTGGCTAAATCTAGGGTGTGTGGTACTGGGATTAAGGACATGTGATTAGTAAACCAGTACACTGATTGGTTTGACATTGTCCTCCTGGTAGTCTGGATAAGATAAAAGAAACAATAAGATTCTGTTAAAGTTCTCTTGTTGCTTTTACTATCTTCTGCCACCATGAACTGTTGCCCCTCTGCCACATGCCACCCTGCCTCTGAGCCAGATGATTATGGACAAAAACCTCTATGAACTGTAAGCTAAATAAACATCTCTTCCCTTTAACTTTAGGTGTTGGATATTTTGTAACTTCATGACTACAAAAAGATACTACATAATAGCCACTATAATGACTGTAATAAAAAAAATTCAGATAATAGTAAGTGTTGGTGAGGATCTGGGGAAATTTGAATCCTCACAAACTACTGGTAGTAATAAAATTTTGTGGCTATTTTGAAAAAATAATCTTTTACTCTCTTAAAAAGCTAAATATGAGTTGTTATATGACCAGAATTTCTACTCTTGATTTATACCCCATATAAATAAAAATACAAATCCACAAAAAAATTTGTAAATATATGTTCACAGGAGCGTTACTCATAATAACCAAAAATGAAAAAAAAATCTAACATATATCAACTGA